TTAAACAAGCGCCAGCTTGCTGGGGGCTTCGCCCCCAGTCCCCCAAAAGGGAGGCAAGTGCCGACAAAGCAACAGCGGCGCCGCATGTGGCCGCTGCGCTGTGCCAGGCGCAAGGGTGGCTCCCCCGCATTTCGCCAATCCTCAATGTGCCATCGCCAGCTGATTGGCGAAATTTGGACGCGACAGCAGTCCTCATCGCCCGCCCATCGCCAAAGCTGCCACGAGGGCCAGAAACACTGCTCCCAGCCCCACCACTCTGGCATGGGCCCTGCGCCACCTGGCCATCCAGCTAAGGGATGCTGGTGATGCCCAGCTTGCCGACAAGCTGCTGCGGAAGGCAGAGGCGGAGGGACTTCAGCTGGTTCTGCAGCCGGCATGCAGCGCGCCAAGCGGCCCAACCATGGACGGCACGGGCAAAGGCATGCGTGTCGCGCGCGAGCTTGGCCCCGCGCTGCCGCCGACCATGCCGCCGCTGACAGCGGGCGTGGCAGCAGCGCTGCTGGGTGTGTACGCTTCGGCATCTAAGGCAGCGCCTGGGCTGCGCAGTATAGCAGCAGAGGCATCGGCTGTGGCGGTGGCAGCGGCAGAGCAGCAGCTGCCCCTGGATGGCGCCGCCTGCGAGGCGCTGGTGCTTTGCTGGGAGGCCGGCGGCGCTGGTGCTGGTCTGCACATGGCGAGCAGCACGGCTGGCAGCCAGCAGGCGCCAGCAGCCCCACTGTGCCCACTGCTGGAACAGCTGTTTGGCGTGAAAGCATTAGAGGCAGTGGAGGAGGCAGCCTTTGCGGAGGCAGCCATGGCGCAGCCAGTCTTGCTGCCGTCGCCATCTTGCAGCATCGAGCAGGCGACCGCCGCAATGGCAGCGGAGATGGCTCGGGCGGCGGGCTGGGAGCCAGTAGGCGCAGGTGCGGAGGAGGCACTGGATCAGCAGCAGGAGCCGGAGGATCAGCCAGCTGAGGAGGGCGCACGGCAGGAGATGCAAGGGCCTCAGCTGCGGGCGGCGCTGAGGAAAGGAGACCTATCTCCTGCCGTGCTGGTGGCCTGCCATGCCATCGGCGAGGTGCAGCTGCTGGTGCTCCTGGAGGAGCTTGCCATCAGGCAGCAGGTGGGTTTGACCTCAGGTGCTGTGCGCTAGCATGCTGTGCAGCATGCATCCAGCCCCGCTGTTAACTGCTGTGACCTGGCATGTACTGCTGTTCTGTCGTCTGCGCTGGCGGTGCCCGTTGAGCTCCTGACACCCTTTGCACTTGCGCACCCACCTTTGCAGCTGTTCCCGCTGACTCGGGCTCTGAAACTCAAGAAGAGCAGTGGCAAGGCTGACAACGACGCCAGCCTTAAGCGCATAGCCGCCGCCATACTGCAGCTGGCTGATGGTGTGGCGGCATAGGACCCTGTACAGCGGTGCACTGGCCGACATGTGGGATGCACCTGCGGCCAAACTGCAAACACTCGGCTAGAAGGGTGTGCGCATGTCAAATGGGAAACATATCAAGGCATGTTGCATTTCTGTATGTAAATACTACAATAAAGGCCAGAAGCGCCGTAGCAGCAACATCACAACTGCTGGGCATGAGATGGAAACTGAGGGGCCACCAGCCTAGCGCAGCTAGAGCTTGTGCGACGACGGCTGCTGGGCCGGGGCGCCGGCTCCCGCCTGCCCCGCTGCCGCCTCACTGGGCACCGGCTGCTGCACACTCAGCTGCTGCTCCTGTGATGCATACTGCGCCAGGGCTTGCACCGCCACATCGAGGGCACTAGGATCCAGCTGCAGGGGCAGGGCGGGGCATACAGGGTGACCACGTCAGGGCCAACTCAGCTGGTAGTGGTCGGCAGGCGACTGCCGTGGTCGCTATAGGCGGCGGGCCGGACAGGCAGCCCATGCACGGTCAGCTTGGGGCAACTTCCGTACAGCATGCCACGCACACACAGCCCCCACCTCGTTTAGGAAAGCGCTCCAGTTCATGGTGCCCAGGGTGCCCTGCCCCAGCAGCACCGATTGCAGCGAGGGGTTGGAGGGGTTGGACTGTGACTCTAGAAGCTTGGCGGCCCAGTCCACAGACAGCTGGGCGGGTGCTGCGGCGCCGTCGCCGCCGCTGCCGCTGCCCAGGCTGTTGCGCACCTGCTGCAGCGCGGCCAGCGAGGCGAGCGGCCCCGCCGCCGCGGACCCGCCGCCGGACCCAGAGGCGGCGCCGGAGCCCGCGGCCAAGCTTGTGCTCTTGAGCAGGGCGGCGAGGTTGGAGTTGGTCGGGCTCAGCAGCCGGCTGAGGCCCGCCAGGCTCAGCATGGGCGCCCTGCGGCAGGCCAGGGCAGAGGTCGGGGCCAGCAGCAGCGAGGTGTGTCACGTGAGTGTACCTCGTCGCCAGAAAAGTGCGGGGAAGGAAGAGGTTTGGCAGAGGCACAGGGGTGGCAGGCAGGCGCACATGAATGTGTGACGCACCTGTTAGGGCTTGCGCTGCGCGGCGGCTGGCTGGCGGAGGGGCCGCCGCCGCCCGCGTTGCCGCTGCCCGCCCCGCTGCTGCCGGCGTTCTGGCTGGCTGAGCCCCCGCTGCCCGTGAGGACGAGGCTGCCGGCTGGCCCGCTGCCGGACTCGGGCAGCGCAGCTTTGGCCGCCTGCGCGGTGAGCTGGTCAATGAATGCAGAGAGGGAGCTCTGCAAGCAGGCAAAGGCAGGATGGGCATCTGAACATCCATAAACACAACAGCATGGGAGGGCGGAAGGAACACATGGTTCCAGGCAGGCCCCTGGCAGGCAGGCCCCTGGCAGGTGCACCATCAGCGGAGCAGCAGGCGGCCATGCATCCACCCACCAGTGAGTGGAGGTCAAAGCTGAATGCCTTGGCCATGTCCTGGCCGCCCGCGCCTGCCCGCTGCTCGGCACTGCCTGGCGGTGGCTGCTGCTGCTGCTGCTGCTGCTGCTGCTGCTGCTGCTCCTGCCCTGGAGGAGCCAGGGTCAGCTCCAAGCGCGCCTGCACCCCTGGGGGCGGCGGCGCGCCCTGCGGCGCGCCCTGCTGCTGCTGCTGGTGCGGCGGGACCGGCATGGCCCAGGCGCCCCCCAGCGGGCCGCGCAGGAACTCTCGCAGCAGCGGAGCCTCCGCCATCTGCGCGGCCGCTGGCTGTGCCGCCAGCGCCGCCGGCCAGGCGGCCTGCTGCGCCTGCGGCTGAAGCTGCAGCCTGGCAGGCACCATTGGCGGCTGGCTGGGTGCAGTCCCCGCAGGCTGCAGGCCCAGCGCCATGCCTCGCTTCAGGGCGGCCACCTCCTGCAGATCACCGCAAGGGTGGGTGGGCAAACAACGGCGGCCGGCCAGTCATTCAACAGTTGACAAGCTTGGGAGAGGCACCTGGCCATAAAACCTGGCAATCGCCGCCGCCGTGAATGGAGAGAGACAGGGGAGCAGGACAGCACCAGCAGTACCAGCAGTACATAACATAGCAGATATACAGTACCGCACCTGGCAGAGCACCTCCACATGCTGCCGCAGCGGGGCTAGCTCCTGCTGGAGTGCCTGGCGCACAGCCAGCATCAGCTGCTGCTCCAGGCCCCCGCCCAGCTGCGCCGCGCCTGGCGGCGCCAACGGCGGCAGGCCGATGCCGGGTGTGCCGCTACGCGAGTCGTCCGGCTGCTGCTGCGGCGGCTGCTGCTGCGGCGGCGGCTGCTGCTGGTGAAGCAGCCAGAATGGCGGCACGCCTGCTGGCGGCGGCGGCGAGCGCGAGGGCGGCGGAGCGCTGGCGCTGGGCCGAGAGGCGGCCTCCTGGATGGTACTGGCGGCGCCCGCCACCGCCGAAGCGCTGATCTGGCCCCCCGTCAGCAATGGGCGCCCGCCGCGCCGCACGGTCTCCTCCACAATCGCCGCCCCCTCTTGCTGCAGCGCATGCCAGCCAGCGCAGAGGGCCCACACGCCTGCTCAGCCGCCTGCCACACGCACCGCCAAGCTGGGCAGGCAGGACCTGCCAGCCCACAGGGGCATGGATGCGATGCTATAGGCACAGTAACAAAGACAGCAGCCTAGGCTGTAATCTGCATGGATGGGAGCTTTGCATTAAACCACTTGCCCCCACCTGGATCGCTGTGTTTGTGGTGCGAGACCGCTTGGACTGCTCCACCTCCTCGATGTCCTTGAACAAGAACATGTACTTCATGGCTGCAGCGGTACATTGGTGCGATACGTGTGCGGTGCACAGGCCGGCACAGGCACCTGCCGGTATTCGACACTCAGCACCAGCCATGGGTGCAAGAAGCGGAGAAGCGTGGTGACACAAGATGTGTGTCGTCTTGCCAGCTCCCCGAGACGGCCCCCACACCCGCACCTGTCTCCTCCAGAGAGGCGGGCCCCGCAAAGAGCGGCGAGCCGCCGGCGCCGGCGCAGTTTGCTGCCTCTGCGTCCAACTCCTCCACAACCGCAGCCCCAGGCAGGCTGCCAGCCAGGGCAGGGAGCAGAGCAGTAAGGTATGAGCACAAAGCTGGGAGGGGCTCAGCTGCAGGTGGATGCTTCATCGGATGCATGGAGGCAGCCCAGCACGAGCGGAAGCAATGCGGCCTGGCCCACGCCCGACACCCAGCAACTCACATGAGCAGCGGCCAGTAGGTGCTGGCACGCAGCTCGCGGTGCAACGCTCGGAACAGCGGGTTGGTGTGCATGTCCTCACGCTGCGCCAAGGCGTTGTACACGATAGGCGCCAGCACCAGGCGCAGGTGGCCCTGCGCGCGCGGCGGCAGATCGGCAGGCGGCGACGTCAGGCGCGGCATTCCTCTGTGCTGCTGCGCTCCCCCGGTGCCAACTGAGCCAGCTCTTGAGCACAGGTGCCCTTGCCTCCCCCATGCCCTACACTCGTCGGCCCCTGTGGCGGCCTGTGTGCACCTTAGCCCCCCGCAGGGCCACACAGCCCCCACCTGCGGCGTGTTATCTTCACCCAGCTCCTGCCGCACGAGCGCCTTGATGCCCGAGGGCGCTTCAAAGGCCCATTGCCAGTGCAGGAGGCCGCCCTTGTCGGCCAGCGCGGGCGGGCTGTTGGCGGGCACTGCGGCGGGCCGGGCAGAGAGGGAGAGAGCACACGATTGAGCGTGCCTGTGTGGCGGCGGGTGCGGGGCACCATGCCAGCATGTGCAGCAGAGCCCGGGGCAGCACACATACATCATGCTGGGGCTGCTGCCGCCTTCTCACCGGTGACCTGGCGGTGCTTGAGCGCCGCCAGCTTCCGAGAGTAGTTGGCTCCCAGGATTGGCTTGAGGTAGATGAGCGGCAGCAGCACGTCGCCTGTGTCTGGGTCCTCCAGGAGCAGGAACCTGCAAGGCGGGCAGGGCGAAGGCAGGAGTGCTGCGGTCGGGTTGGGACAGGGACGGCGGCGGCGAAGAAAAGGCCAAGGCATGCTCCGGAGGCTGCGACTGCCTGACGAAGCAGCCGCGGCTCGCACTTTTCGTCGCCGCCGGCGTGCAGCCAGAGGGGCCTGGCAGCGGGCAGCTTGATGTGGGGGCTGGTGGCGGCGCCGCCGCCTCCGCTGGGCGGCGCTGACGACTCGCGCCCGCGCTTGGACATGCTGCCGCCCAAGGCCCTCCTGGTCTGTGTGTTCGGATGCTTAGAGTGTGGTATAGCTGGCTGCTCTACCTGCAGTTGGCCGCAGCAGAAGAAATCTTTGAATCTCGCCGCAGAGAAACCAGCTGCGAGCGGAGGTACCACGCGCACCCGGCGCCGCCACCCAGCTTCCTCCTGCTGGCACAACCGCTGCGGCGGTCAGCTGCTGGACACCGCGTGCCGCGCTGCGACAGTCCAAAGCCCACTGGAGGGAGGGCTGGCCTATGGGAAGACTCCCCCTGAACGGCGGTTGTTCAGCGGGCCTCTAAAACGCGATCACACGCCCCGAGAGTCTGTTGCACAAAGTGCCGGCCCAAGCGGAGCAGCTAACAAGCAAGTTGGAGGAGTGTTCCGCATGGGGTGCCTTTCCACAGCAGCTGGCCCTCGCCAAAAGGGGCTCTTAAGCATTGGATCACCCTGCAGCTGCTCTGCCACTGCTTGTGGGAGAACCCTGGGCCGACCATGTCTGCGCCATCGGTTGCGGGCACTGCCGTCTCGAAACAGCGGGGCAACGCTGCATTTGCAGCAGGAGACTACGCATCCGCGCTTGAACGCTATAGCGAAGCGATCAGGCTATGCGATGGGCTGCCAGACCCGGCGGGAGTGCACCTCCTGTATGGCAACCGGTGCGGTTGCCGCTCCGCCGCCCGCCGGATTGCTCTGTGCCCCATGCTCTTGCCTGATCCTTATCCATGGGATCCCTGCCGACGCAGGGCGGCAGCGCATCTCAAGCTGGGCCAGTGGGCAGCGGCGCTGGCAGATGCAGAGACGGCGCTTGCGATAGAACCCAAGTGAGGCAGCAACAGGAGGTGTGACGGCTTGCCTGACCGAACATAGGAACTTTACAACAACCACAATGCCGTGTAGCAAGTCTTTGCTCTACTCTAATGACTGAGGGCTCCCATGCCGCATGCAGGTGGGTCAAGGCGCTTTATCGCAAGGCCGCCGCACTGCAGCAGCTGGGGCAGCCCGCAGGGGCAGCAGCGGTGGCGCAGCAGGCTGCCCTGCTGGAGCCCGGCAACCGAGAAGTGCAGGCACTGCTGCAGCAGCTGGGACCTGCCGCATCGGTAGCAGCGCAGCAAACGTGGCAGCAGGCAGCCGGGCCGACCAAGCCTGCCCCCAGCGCGGCATTGCTGCCGCCGCTGCTGGCCGCAGCCCCGTGGGAGTATGCGCCGGCACCAGATGGGGTGGACGAGAACCTGTTGCTGTTGCTGCACGGCCTGGGAGACCGCCCAGCAGCCTTTGCAAAGCTGGCGCAACAGATGGCGCTGCCACAGGTGCACCAGTGGCCCGCCGACACCAGATGTGCTATCCAGCCAACAGTCTGTGTCTCAGCTGTGTCTTCAAATCATCACATCCCTGGTGACTGTGCCCACCCACCCCCGCTGCTTCCTGCTTGCAGAGTGCCGCGTTGGCGCTGGGCGGCCCTCAGGAGGTGCCGTTTAGCGATGGCGGCAGGTCGTGGTACACTGTGTTCACAGAAGAGTTTGAGCTCATAGAGGTGGGGGCACGGGCTTGGGTTCTGGAGACCATGATCAATGTACCTTAGTGTGTGCTTGAGCTGCCACTTTCCTTTGGCCTGCCTGCAGGCCCGGCCGGGCGAGCAGCGCCGCATCCACAGCCTGCAGGCGGTGGTGGCGGCGCTGCAGCGGCTGGTGGCGGAGCTGCAGCGGGCCTGCGGCTGGAAGGCGCACAGCATCCACCTGATGGGATTCTCCCAGGTACAGTGTTGGCAGCAACCATCACGGCAGCCAGAGAGTGTAGGATGCCTGCCTGATCCAGGGTGCGTCTGTTGCTGCGAGGGCTTCCCAGACATTTCGCACTGCCTCCCATCGCTGCAGGGTGGCACAGTAGCTCTGGGGCTGGCCCGGCAGCAGCAGGCCGCCGGGCAACCGCTGGGCAGCTGCGTGGCGGTGTCTGCTGCCCTGCTGCCAGAGCAGGTGGCACAGGGGCTGGGTGCAGGGAGCAAGAGCAGCAGCGGGGGCGCCAACGCGGCAGGAGGTGGCACGCCAATTTTGATAACGCATGGCACCGCGGACAAAGGTACGGGCTGGCTGCCAGCCAGCATGACTGCCTCTCCTGGCTTGGCTTGGGCCCACCATGCCCCCTCCACCCCACCCATCCACTGCTTTGCTGCTCTGCAGTTGTGAGCCGGCGGTCTGTGGAGCAGACAGCAGAGGCGCTGCGCAGCACGCATAGCATGGAGGTCGTCGTGCACAGCGTGCCCGGCAAGGGCCACGCCATGCCCCAGGTGCCTCCCTGCCCCTGCCCAGCCGCCGCGTGAATGCTGGCTGTTTTCCTCCCCTCCACGCAACCTTCTCCCTGCCTTGTGATGTCCCCCTGCTGCAGGGCCCAGCTGAGATGAAGAGGTTGATGGAGTTCTGGGCTCAGCGCCTCAGCCGGCGGCCCACGGCAGCAGACCTGCCGCCCGAGGCGGCTGGCGGCGGTGGCGAGCTGCTGGAGGTCCGGCCGGGGGAGGTGTCCCTAGAGCTTCTAGGGGAGCAGCAGCAGCCATGAATCACATCACAACCGGGCGTGAAAGCGCCGCTCAGCTTTGCAGCATTTGTAGCAAACAGTCTTGCAATTGCAGGCAGACAGTCTTGGCGGCCGGCAGTGCGATGCTTCAATGCAAGCGCTTGCGCTAGGGGGCGGCGTGGTCGGCGGCTCGCTCGTAAAAGGCGGCGTCGTTTAAGAAAGCCAGCAGGGCTCGCTCAAAAGAGTGCGCCTGCAGGTCTGCCTGCCCAAACAGCTCCAGCAGGGCGGCCTGCTCGCTGGGGCCCAGCCCCGCTGGCGCCAGGCGGGCCTCCACAAAGCGCGGCAGCGTGGAGAGGTGGAACTCGGTCCAGTTTGCGGCAGCCAGGCTGAACAGGGTGTCTGCCAGTGCCTCCTGTGCGCCGCCGTACAGCCGGGAGGCCAGCATGGAGAGCAGGGAGGAGGCCAGGGGCGCACGAGCGGGCTGGAAGGCGGGCAGCCCGTACAGCCGGGTAGCCACCTGCAGCTTTCGGGGGGGTGGAGGTGGAGGGCGAGGCCAGGCGAGGGTGGTGGCGAAACGAACAGGCAATAGGCAGGGCAGGGATGCCGTTGGCTGATGCTGGCATCCTGTACCGGTACCTGGCCAGCCCGGCCAGAACTAGAGAGCTTGCAGCTTACGAGGCTGCCCTGTTTCCAGGCATGTACTCACGTGCAGCTCAAACAGCTCCTCAAGGACCAGCCGCACATCCGCCACCGCCAGCACCACGTGCAGCGCAGCAGCCGCGTCAAAGTAGCCCACCAACAGCTCCAGCACGCGCCGGATGACGGCCGTCCCGCCGCCCTCAGCTGCACCGCCCGGCTCGGAAACAGCTGCTGCCTGCTGGGCCGCTGCGGCAGCGGCGGCGGCGGCGGCGGCGTGTGCGTGCAGACCAGCTGCCAGCGGATGCGCTGCTGCCCCAGGCCCGGGTCCCTCGGCCGCGGGCTTGGCGCCGCCGCCCGCCAGCGCGCGCCAGCGGTACCGCAGCAGCGCCAGCAGCGCAGCCAGCGCCTCGGCCCGCACGTGCGGCAGGTCTGCGTCTGCGACGGCAGCCTGGGGTGAGGCGGTACGGTCCCAGACGCCCAGGCAGTACTGCAGCGCTGGCACCACCAGCGTGCCGTGCCTGTGGCTGCCGCCCTGGCTGAGGACGGACGCTACCAGACGCATCATAAGCAGGTCAGTCTCAAAGGAGGGGTCTGTGCCTGCTGGGGGGCAGGAGGGAAGGCACGGGGAAGCGGTCTGCTGTGGCGTGTGTGTGTGTGAGTGCTGGTTGGCGCAGGTGGCCACAAACCTGCCACTCTGCCACCCTCCCCACTGTGCTGTCCCCAGCAGCGGGCCTGCTTGCCTGTGGCTGAGAAGACCTGGACTAGGGCTGCCAGCAGCTGCTCCACTCCTTCTGTGCCCAGTTCGGTGGCCAGAACGTCCAGGCAGGCGGTCACCAGGCGCAGCAGCGCCATGGCCGCCTTGCTGCGCAGCGGCCCGCCGCCGGCACTGCCGCTGCCGGTGGCGTGCAGGATGGCAACCACGCTCGGGAGGGCAGGGGCCGCCAGCGCGGCGCCGACTATGCTGCGAAGCGCCTTGGGGCTGCCGCTGTAGCTCTGCACGATGCAGGCACAGGCGGAGGCTGCGCTGCGGGCCGCCGCCGCCGCCTCGCCTGCCAGCCCACCGCCTCCAGAAGCCGCCGCTGCCGCCTGCTGGAACAGCTGCACCAGCGGGGCTACCAGGTTGGTAAACGCCGCGCTGCGGGCCTCTGCATCGAACTGGGCAGCGGGCTGGGCCGGCCAGCAGCGCAGCGCCAGGTCTGAGAGGCTGAGCCAGAGGGCACGGCAGGCCCGCATGGGCAGCAGCGCCGGCGCCGCCAGGCTGGCATGCGCCACTTGGCGCAGCTGGGCCTAAAGGCACGGCGGGAGGCAGGCGCGAGCTGGCTTCAGCATGCAGCAGCAGTGCGGGGCAGCTGAAGCACCCAACACACACCACATCAGCACGGCCACCTGCTGACAGGCAATGCCCAGCACACCACCAAGTGCCAAGTGCACCTGCTCCGGGCCCCAGAGGGCCTGCAGCAGTGCCGCGGGCGGCTTGAGGCTGCTGGAAAGGGCGATGGAGCTCAGCGACACCAGGCTCTCTGCAGACCAGACGGCGGCGCGGTGCAGCGCGCCCTGCCACCCCGCCAACCCCGGCGAGGTCGCCGCCTGCAGCGTGGCGGCGCCGCTGGACAGCACGCCCCACAGCAGCTCCCGGGCTACGGGGCCGGCGTCCGGGTCGGCGCTGCCCTGCACGAGACCCGTGATGAGCTGGGAGAGCCAGGTGGCGGTGAGCGAGCCGAGCGCCTGGTGCAGCCGGCTGCCGGCCAGGAGCATGGCCGCCAGGCCCACGCCGCCGCCGGCCTCGCCGCCGGCCGCCAGGTGCGCAGGCGTGCTGGGCTGGCCTGCCTGCCGCGTGGCGGCCGCCAGGGCCTGAACGGCCTGCAGCCACACGGCCGCCAGCTGGCACAGCGCGCGCATGCACTGCACGGCGTGCGCCCCGCTGGCGGCCTCCCCGCTGCCTGCAGCCAGAGGGGCTGGCTGCTCGGCTGCGCCCCGGGTGGGGAAGCTGGGACCGCAGCGGGTGAGCAGCCGCAGCATGACATCCATGCCCCGAAACGCCGGCAGCTGCTGGGCCAGCGCCGCCGCCGCTGCAGGGGCGGCGCCGCCGCCGCGCGCCGCCGCCGCCGCCGCCGCCGCGGCTTGCTGGCAGGCGGCTGCAAAGTCGCGGCTGCTGGCTTGGAAGTGGAGCAGCACCCAGGGCAGCCGGTCTGCGCTGAAGCTGCCGACAGCCCGACCCAGAAACAACTCTGCATGCCGCACATACATGTCCACTTCAGAGTCCGGCTGGAAAGGGCTGCCGCCCTGGCTGGCCACGCCTGCGAATGCAGGAGCACAGGGTGTGTGGGAGTGTGGGCAGCTCGACGGGATCGCTCCGTTGAGGAGGGACGCTTCATCGTCCGCCGCCTGCGATGCCCGGACCACAGCGCAGCACACAGGAGGTCCCCAGCAGGCCCAGCAGGCCGGACAGCGCCGGCGCCAGGCACGTCCATGGGAGGCCGACACGCACCCGGCACCAGCAGCTCGCCACCCTCCTCCCCCTCCTCCTCCTCTGCTGCCTGCTGCGCTTCGGCGCCGCGCTCTCCCTCTGCTCCGGCATCCCCGCCCGCAACGACCGACTGCAGCCAGTCGTCAACAGCAGAGCCGCTGCCCGGGGCGGTGCTGAGGGCGGCCAGCGTGAAGGGCGGCGGCCGTGCCACGTCAGCGCCAGCGGGGCACAGCGTGGCAAGCACCAGATCCGAAACAGCCAGAATGGGCTCTGCAGCAGGGCAGAACGGAGGCACTCGCGGCGTCTGAGCAGACGGCGGGGATCTACGGTGCCATGTGTTTGTGCAGCGTTGGGATCCAGCACAACAACAGCACCACCGCCGCCCAACGCGCACCTTTGTAGGCCGCCGCTGCCTGCTTGACCCGCTCCCGCGCCTGCAGGTCGTCTCCAGCCTCCCACAGCTCGGCCTCAAAAGCATCCAGATAGGTGAGCACAGCATGCCACACCTGCACCCAGGCAGCAGCACTATAACGACACGATTTCCCAGGATCAGTGTGCAGGCAGTGGTGAATGAGGGGTAAGCCCAGCAGCAGCAGCAAGCACGTAAGCATCAGCAGGACAGAGAAGCAGCTAGAGCAGCATGCCGGCACCTCCAGGAACAGCAGCAGGTCGACCGGGCTCTGGCGGGCGGTGGACAGCGCCAGCACCCGCCCCAGGATGCTCCTCAGCATGGCCGCCAGGCGAGGACTAGCCTCGACAGCGCTGAAGGATGCGGGGCGGGACGGGGTTGCGTGGGTGCGCGCACGTAGGGGCGGCGGCGCATCATGAAACGACGGCCTATGCACATGTACGCGTTGCAAGAGCCAGGCGTAAGTACCTGAGCTGAGTGGTGAAAAACTGGATGAGCAGGCGCACAAAGGCGGTCAGCAGCGGGTCGTCCCGCTGGAGGCGGCTGCCGCCCTGCTGCTGCTCGTGCGCCCACCGCTGGTGCACCAGGGCACACGTGTCCTGCAGCGAGCGGCGGCGAGAGCCGGGGAGGGGCAGGGGTGATGTGCCACAGCGGCATGCAGCCGTGGCCCCCATGCAACCAGCTCGCAGGGGACGCTTCCTGGTGGCAGAGCAGAAGCGAGTGCCCAGCCCACCCTGACACTGATCGAGCGCAGCACGGGAGGCATAACAAAAGGACATGCTGCAAATTGCTCGCCTGCAGCCGGGGCACCACCACCTCCAGCATCTCCTGTGCCTCATGAGCCGCAAAGAACTTGGCCTGCAGGTCGGCAACACAGTCCAGCGCTGCGGCCGCCACCTCCACCACCGCCTCGTCTGCCTCGTCTCCAAGATCGCCGCCGTCGCCGGGCGCAGCGGCAGCCACAAAGCCGAACAGCAGGCCGGCGACGGTGGCGCCGCTGACGCCCTGGTCTGTCGGCAGCTTGCTGGCATCTGCCAGCGCCTGGCGCAGCGCCCGCAGCGCCTTGGGCGCCAGCGCCAGCGCCGCGCCGCCCTGCTCGCCGGGCCGCGCCAGGCTGCCACGCAGCGTGTGCAGCAGCGAGCACAGCGTGCCCAGCGCCACGGGCTGCAGCTCGCGGTAGTGCTGCTGGATGGCGGGTATGCTGGCTGACAGCACCTGCTGGGTGAAAGAGGGAGGTGGGAAGTGCGGTGAGTAAGTGGGGGAGGGATGGCGGGGAGCAGCGGGCTCCGGTCGAGTGCAAAGGCGGTGAGGTGGCAGCACATCATGACAGAGGCTGCCAGCGGCTTGCTGAGGTGTGGCACAGCCCCCTGGGCGCCTGGCCGGCACTGCCCACCTTGCCCTTGAGGCCAAAGCTGGTGGCCTGAGCCAGGGAGTGGAAGTGGTCGAGAGTAGCTGCCAGCAGACCCACTCCCGCCTCCATCCGCGCCGGGTCTGATAGGCAGGCTTGCAGCGCCGGCCAGGCGCTGG